GGTACATCAAGGTCGATGCACTCAGCATTGCAACTTGGCACGTTCCTTGGCACGTTCCGTGGGGCGTCCTTTGGCGAGTCCCCCTGGCACGTCGCGTCGCGCGTCCCCTGGCACATCCCGTGGCACATCCATTGGCACGTTCCGTAGCGCGTCCCCTTGGCACGTCCCGCGGTGCGACCCCACGGCACGTCCCCTGGCACGTCGCCTGGCGCATCCCTTGGGACGTTTCGCGGCGCGTCCTCCTGGCATGTTCCCCTGTCCATTAGCTCTGGGGCAGCTACTATGTGTTCAGGCAGCTCGAGCTTAAGATCCAGATCAGTTCGGTCAGGACTCGGATGCAAAGGAGGACTCGATCCACGAGGCTATAGAGCACAGTCGCGCCATGGCACATCGCAATTCAGCACGGCGCAGCACAGCACAGCCCTCGGCAGGGTACATCAAGATCGATACCTTCAGTATTGCATTTGCCCGTCACCCAATCAGGTGTCTTTGAAAACGCTGCCATGTGTTACAGTTCTACATTCCTTTCCGGGTTCGTGGGTCGATCATGTTCAACAGAAATGGGGCCCGCCGTCATCTGACGAGAGCTTTGAACATTGGGTATTGCCCTAGAGGGCAGGCGTCGACCATCTTTGAGGTGCAGGTCCCTGCAGTATTCGATTGTAAAGTGCGTGGCTCTAGCTTCGGTAGCTTGGGGGAGTATCGCACACACGTTCGCACTCATTTCCCATTCGTGCCGGCTGTCCGGGCTGCCAGACATGCCTGGAGACGACGACCTGCAGCTCCAGTTGCCCCAGTGGTCAGGCAGCGCGCAACTTGCGCGTCGACCAGAGGGAGGCGCCGCAGAGGCCGAGCCCCTGCGCAAGAAGGGCAGGACGAAGGCCAAGGGCGACGCCGACGCTCTCGCGCCGCTGGCGGCGCGCCTCTCGCTCATGGCGGCTCGCGACACGGCGCTGATCAAGGGCAGCCTGTGCAGGCACTTTCTCGCGAACGAGGAGGCGTGGCTCGTGAAGGCGGGGCTGCGGAGCAACAGGGAGTACAGCGCCAGGGTCGAGGCCCTGGAGGAGGCAGAGAAGAACGGCGAGACGGTGGAATACAACGCCCTGGGCCCGCCGTTTCTTACGGTGTACTACGCGGTGATGCACGTGGCGAAGCAGAAATCGGCGGGTCCAGCAGCGCAGGTTCTCACGGACTTCATTGCGGCGCACGTGGAGGGCAAGATGCAGGTGCAGCTGGCGAGGTATGTGAAGCACTTCCAGATCAGCCAGCCGAAGGGGCAGAAGTCCAAGCGCATGGAGGGCAACGCGAAGTTCATCGTGAGGTTCGAGGAGCACCTCGAGGCGGGCAAAGCAGCGGTAGAGATCCTGGAGCAGACCTTGGCGGAGTAAAAGGCGGAGGAGGTGATCGGGTCTGCCCCGAGGGTCCGCGAGGAGCGGGAGATCGCAGCGATCTTCAACAAGCGCTGAGGACGGGGCCTGCCGTTGACCCCTGAAACGCAACATCACAGCGTCATTGAAGGGATCCGATCCCGCCCGATGATTGCGATATGAGTCGGAATGTGAGTGATGGTGGGGCTCAGCAGAGTTCGACTGGGACGATGATTGGAGGTGTGTCTGTTATGGCGAGAACACCGACTTCGGCTCCCCAGATTTTGTATGCTCCAGCTGAGTCGGCGAGTGCGGCATCTTCTAGTGCTCCCTCGGCCAGGCCCCCTGCTTTCTTGTCTGTTGCTGATGGATGGCGGCTGAGCGAGAGGCGCAGTCAACATCTTAGCGGAGGCGGTATGGTTAGGATACAGCCGCCAGCTGATGAGGGAAGGGGGAGGGGTCGCGGGGGTCGTCGTGGGCGTGGGAGTGGGGGGCGGGATGGAGGGAGAGCCCGCGGCCGCGGCTTTCAAAGCAGAGCTTCGAGGTAACGGGCTAGATTTTGTCATGGGGTGGTGCCCGAAGAGGCGCCCCGAGGGGCCTTCCCCCCTTTTCGGGGTTGCCTTAGGGCCCCGAGGGGGGCCCTCCCCCCCAGCTGTCGGGGCCCTGACACCGTCTGTTGGGGTTGTTAGGCCAGTGCCTGCGCAGGGGCTTTAGCTGATCGAGTCGGCTGCGAGTTGACCGACCTTCGTAACTTTTTATTGCCTACAGCGGTTCAAGATCGAGATCGAGATCATTTTTCCCGGAAAGGGCGTGGGCCCAGGGTTCTCTTTTAGTTGGTTAACCCCCCGGCCCCCCTGCGACTTGGGCCGGCGAAATTATTTTGCGAGCGGGCACGCACGGAGTAGGGCCGGCGAAATTTGTTTTGAGGATGTCTCGAGCGAAACGCTTGTTTGTCAGAATTTGTTGAGGATGTCTCGAGCGAAGCGCTGGTTTTGCAGAGTTGGGGATGTCTCGAGCGAAACGCTTGGTTTCAGAATTTGTTGAGGATGTCTCGAGCGAAACGCTGGTTTTGCAGAGCCGACCGCGACACGGAAAAGCGCTCCTCGCGCAGGAATTCCGAGGATGTCTCGCGCGTGCCGCGTCCCGCACGCAGGAATTTTGATTTCTTTGGGTTTTGACAGGATTTCTCAAGCGAAACGCTTGTTTTTCATAATTTGTTGAGGATGTCTCGAGCGAAACGCTGGTTTTGCAAAATTGGGGGATGTCTCGAGCGGGGGCCTCGTGGGGGGCCAGAATTCAGAGGATATCTCAGGCGCAATGCTTGTTTTCGTGTCCCGCTCGCAGGAATTCCGAGGATGTCTCGCGCGTGCCGCGTCCCGCGCGTAGGAATTCGGATGATTGTGATAGGATGTCTCGAGCGAAACGCTTGTCCCCAGCACGTTCAGTAGCGCGTCCCCTTGGCACGTCCCGCGTTGCGACCCCATGGCACGTCCCCTGGCACGTCGCCCGGCGCATCCCTTGGGACGTTTCGCGGCGCGTCCTCCTGGCATGTTCCCCTGGTCAATCAGCTCTGGGGCAGCTACTATGTGTTCAGGCAGCTCGAGCTTAAGATCCAGATCAGTTCGGTCAGGACTCGGATGCAAAGGAGGACTCGATCCACGACGCTATAGAGCACAACCGCGGCATGGCACATCGCAATTCAGCACGGTGCAGCAAAGCACAGCCCTTGGCAGGGTACATCGAGATCGATACACTCAGCATTGCAACTTGGCACGTTCCTTGGCACGTTCCGTGGGGCGTCCCTTGGCGAGTCCCCCTGGCACGTCGCGTGGCGCGTCCCCTGGCACATTCCGTGGCACATCCATTGGCGCGTTCCGTAGCGCGTCCCCTTGGCACGTCCCGCGTTGCGACCCCATGGCGCGTCCCCTGGCACGTCGCCTGGCGCATCCCTTGGGACGTTTCGCGGCGCGTCCTCCTGGCATGTTCCCCTTGTCAATTAGCTCTGGGGCAGCTACTATGTGTTCAGGCAGCTCGAGCTTAAGATCCAGATCAGTTCGGTCAGGACTCGGATGCAAAGGAGGACTCGATCCACGACGCTATAGAGCGCAGTCGCGCCATGACACATCGCAATTCAGCACGGCGCAGCACAGCGCAGCCCTTGGCAGGGTACATCAAGATCGATACACTCAGCATTGCATTTGCCCGTCACCCAATCAGGTGTCTTTGAAAACGCTGCCATGTGTTACAGTTCTATATTCCTTTCCGGGCTCGTGTGTCGATCAGGTTTTTTTTTTTTTTTTTTTTTTTTTTTTTTTTCTCCGCCGCGCGAGCGGCTTCTCCGCCCCCTCGCGCGCGGTGCCGCATCCTTTTCGCATGGGCAAGGGCCGCCAGGGCGGCGGCCCAGGCCCCTCGCGGGCGGCGTCGCTCCCTTGGCGGTTCGCTTGCCGCCCCGCGCGCTGCGTTCCTGGCCCGCCGCGCGTTGCTTCTTCTTGTCACGCAGAAGTAGACAGAACCGCTGCGTGCGTGGCGGTCCTGCCCCCTGCCCCCCGCCCCCCTCCCCCTCCGCGCAAATTTGTTTTTCCCCGCGCGCGGTGGGCCGGGGCTTCCGAGCCCGCGGCTGCCTTGGCGCACCGCGCATTTGATTTTGAAATGCCGAATCGGCCAAGGCCGTCACGCGCGCGGCGCTCCGCCCCCTCGCGCATTGGTCCTCTTCCCCGCGCAGCTTGGGCCAGCGCCGCAGCGCGCGCGGCGGCCAGCCAGGTCCCTTTTCCATCGCGCATGCGGCCCAGGGCCATTGCGGCAGTCAGCGAGACCGCTTCGCAAGCGCGGGGCAAGGGGCCCGGGGGCCGCCGCGCGCGTTCCGCCCCTCCAGCGCCCCGTCTCTGGACGCTGGTGCGTACGCTCTCGTTTCTTCAAAGCACATTAGTTATGCTATCGAGTGCCTCCCATGATATTATTATCCGTTCTCTCTGGGCCCTTTTGCAGGTTCTGCATGTTTCCCATTGTCTCTCCCGCAGAAGCCTTGCTTGCTCTCCTTCGCCAGCCGAATGTGCATTATTTAGATTTCGTTGGTTCCGCCCCGGATCTGTATATTTTCTGCTTGGGCGTGGCGCAGAATCCCCATCCTATCTATCAGTGCCCGCTGCAACACTTCTCTTTGCCGCGCCGAGGGGGCCACTGCGCTGCGACGCGGGAAGTGCCGTCAGAGCAGCTCCTGGCGTCGCGGCGACTTGTTTTGAATTCAGCCCCCCCGGGACTTACAAGTCCTGGGCCGTCTTGAGCTGACGGAAGCCCAGAAGCGCGATGATCCCAAGCAAAGTGGAATTTGAGGGGGACTCTTCGTTTTTTACTTCGTCGGGCTCTCCTGAGGCGCCTCTTGGGCTCTCTTCATGCGTTTCCGGGACGTCATGACGCCATCTTGGGTCGTCCTGGAGCCAATTCAGACCGTTGTAGAGGCATCTTCGCCCGTCTTGGCGGCTATGATCGCCCTCTTCTGCCGTCGTGGCAGCCTTCGTGACCCCCAGGGAGACGCCATGGCCGACCAGGGACCTCCAAGAGCAGGGTGGTGCACGCAAGTGGGCGCGGTGAGAGGGGTGGGTGGATCCCTGCTCGAGCGGAAGCCCGGCCGCCGAGGTGGAACGTCGACCCGAACGTCGCGCTCAGCGTCTCGGACCCAGGGGGGGGGACGCGGGCAACAGGGCGGCGACGACGGGGGGATGGAGACGAAGCAGGGGAAGGGGAGGGGGGACGTGGGGTGGGGAGGGCGGGGGGAGGGCACGTGACAGGGGGGGTGGGGGGTGGGCCGGGAGGGAGGAGGGAAACAACAACGGGGGAGAGGGGAAAAGAGGAGCCCGTCCCGCTGCCGGGTTTCCGTTCCCGTCCCCGCCTCCCCCCCTCCCACTCTTCGGCTTCCTTCCCCTCCCCGTCCAGTTCCAGTGCCCCCCCCTCCCGCTCCAGCCCCACCCCTCGCCTTCTCGCCTCTTCCGCCCAGAGGATTGCTGGGCGCCTGACCAGTCCTGGGGATATTATTTCCCCGTCGAGGAAGAGGAGGGCAAGGCTAGCGCTTCTCTTTGCCTCACTTGTTCCCCGTCGTCGTCTTCCTCCGCCTGGTCCCTCCCCGTGCCCCCTTCTCTCCTCATGTGGGCTGTTTTTTTTTCCCGGAAAGGGCGCCGGTCCAGGTTTCTCTTTTAGTTGGTAAACATGTCCCCGGTGCCTCAACTGAGGTGGGCCGGCGGATTCTTTCCCTGATAAATATCGAGGTCGAGGTGGGCCGGCGGATTAAACATTGAGGATGTCTCAGGCGAAACGCTTGTTTTTGAAATCCCGATCGATAAAACACAGGGTGCGGGCCACTCTTTCGTGTGTTGAGGATGTCTCGAGCGAAACGCTTGCTCCGCAGAGTTACCGAGGACGTCTCGAGCGAATCGCTTGTTTTGTAGAACTTGAGGGATCTGGGGGCCCCAGAGATTTGCCTTCTCCAGGTGCACGACACCTTCAGCATTGCAAGTGCCCGTCGCCCAATACGGTGTCGTGAAAACGTTTCCATGCATGCGGTTCTATATGCGTTTCCACGACCACACCCCAGCACGACCATACCCCAGAACGACCACACCCCAGCACGACCCCATCCCAGCACGACCCCACCCCAGCACGACCAAACCCCAGCACGACCACACCCCAGCACGACCTCACCACAGCACGACCCCACCCCAGCAAGACCATCACCCAGCACGACCACACCCCAGCACGACCTCACCACAGCACGACCACACCCCAGCACGACCACGCCCCAGCACGACCACGCCCCAGCACGACCACGCCCCAGCACGACCACGCCCCAGCACGACCACCCCCCAGCACGACCCCCCCAGCACGACCACCCCCCAGCACGACCACCCCCCAGCACGACCACACCCCAGCACGACCACCCCCAGCACGACCACACCGCCTTGGTTGAGTGGTTGCCTGTCGTCGTGGAATGTTTCGTGGGGTGTCTCGTGGACTGTTTCGCGGGGTGTCTCGTGGAATGTTTCCAGGGAAACGTCGAAAAGGGTCGCCCGTGTCTCGTGGAATGTTTCGCGGGGTGTCTCGTGGAAGTGCCCGTCGCCCAATACGGTGTCGTGAAAACGTTTGCATGCATGCGGTTCTATATCCCTTTCTGGGTTCGTGGGTCCATCATGTTTTGTTCCTACTTGGCTTTGGAAGACGCTGATTTGGTTGTACATGTATGTATGCACGCATGTGTGTATGTGCATGTGTAGGTGCATGCGTATGTGTATGTCTATGTGTATGTGTAAACGTATACGTGTATGTATGTGTATGTGTATGTATATGTGTATGTGCTTGTGTATGTGAAAGTGTGAAAGTGTCTGTGTATGTGTTTGCATAGGTGCATGTGTATGTATATGTGTATGTACATTGTGCATGTGTATGTACATGTGATTTCGCAGGGCTATGTATATGTATACATATCCATGCCTCTATACATGTACGGTATGTGTACACACATATGGGTACACATGTTCCTATGCGTATATATATATGTATATGTGTACGTATGTATGTATACGTTGTGAGACATGTATGTGCGTACGCATGTGTACATTCACGCGTAACTATGTATATGCATTTGCTTATGTATATGTGTATGTTTACGTTTATGTATACGTATACGCAAGTATGTATGTGTATATGTTTAGCTACATGTATAGGTAAACGTTTTTATGTGTTTGTTTACGACTGTGCACATGTATATGTGCTAATGTGTAGTATTTTCATAAATATATGTGTGAATACGTTTACTCACATATGTGCATGCACATGTCTGTGCACGCGTACGTATATTTGCATTGGTACACTATACTTATGATTGCATCTATGTATAGATACGGGTGTGTGTATATATATATATATGGATGTGTACGTGCTTATGTGTATATATATGTATATGGTTACATTCATATGTATAAGTGCATGCATGTTTTCAAATCCGTAAGGGCTTCGACCCTTGCCGCCAGCCCCCTCTCTGGGATAATGGGAGATGCAAAAGCTCAATCATGAGTTCTGGGCGCCGCCGTGAAGCAGTGTCGGGACCTGTTTGTTTTTCGACCTTGACCCTACGGATCTGCGTGAGGGGTGCCGCCGCATTTCAGAAATGTGGTACATCCCCTTTGTTTTTCCCAACCAACCTGTGTTGTTGGGTCCTCGTTTTGAAGAGACGGTCCCCGCGTTCCTCCTCTCCTCCTCCCCCTCCTCCCCTCTCCATCACCATGATCAGCATCATCAACTGTTTCAGCATACCCCTCACACGTTTCGTGGCCCCATAGGGAGCCCAACCGAAGGTCCCAGTGCTACCGTCCGCATGCGCCCCCCCCCACACCCATGCGAAGGTCCCAGTGCTACCGTCCGCATGCGTCCCCCCCACCCAGTACAGCGTTTCGTGGCCCCATAGGGAGCCCCACCGAAGGTCCCAGTGCTGCCGTCCGCATGCGCCCCCCCCCCACCCAGTACAGCGCTTCGTGGCCCCATAGGGAGCCCCACCGAAGGTCCCAGTGCTACCGTCCGCATGCGTCCCCCCCACCCAGTACAGCGTTTCGTGGCCCCATAGGGAGCCCCTCCGAAGGTCCCAGTGCTACCGTCCGCATGCGTCCCCCCCCCACACCCAGTACAGCGCTTCGTGGCCCCATAGGGAGCCCCTCCGAAGGTCCCAGTGCTACCGTCCGCATGCGTCCCCCCACCCAGTACAGCGCTTCGTGGCTCCATAGGGAGCCCCACCGAAGGTCCAAATGCTACCGTCCGCATGCGTCCCCCGCACCCAGTACAGCGTTTCCGTGGCCCCGCAGGGAGCCCCGCCGAGGTCCCAGTGCTACCGTCCGCATGCGTCCCCCGCACACCATAGCACGCGTTTTGTGCCTAAGCCCCCACCGAAGGTGCCCCTGGTCCGCATGCGTCCCCCGCCCAGTACAGCGTTTCGTGCCCCATAGGGAGCCCCGCCGAAGGCAGTGCTACCGTCCGCATGCGTCCCGTACCACCGCCTCACCCGTGCTCCCCCCCCCAGTGCTTTCCGCATGCGTCCCCACATAAACAGCAGAGAGCCCCACCGAAAAACCCCCTGGCTCCCCCCCCCCCCCACCCAGTAAACAGCTTTCGTCGCCCATATCCGAAGGTCCAATACCGTCCGCAGCCCCCCCCCCCCACTCAGTACAGCCCCATAGGAGCCGCCCGAAGGTCCCAGTGCTACCGTCCCATGCGTCCCCCCACCCAGTACAGCGTTTCGTGGCCATAGGGAGCCCCACCGAAGGTCCAAATGCTACCGTCCGCATCCCCCCCGCACCCAGTACAGCGTTTCGTGGGGGAGCCCCACCGAAGGTCCCTGTGCTACCGTCCGCATGCGTCCCCCGCGCCCAGTACAGCGTCCTCGTGGCCCATAGGGAGCCCCGCCGAAGGTCCCAGTGCTACCGTCCGCATGCGTCCCCCCACACCCAGTACAGCGCTTCGTGGCCCCATAGGGAGCCCCGCCGAAGGTCCCAGTGCTACCGTCCGCATGCGTCCCCCCACCCAGTACAGCGCTTCGTGGCCCCGTAGGGAGCCCCACCGAAGGTCCCACATGCGTCCCCCCACCCAGTACAGCGTTTCGTGGCCCCATAGGGAGCCCCACCGAAGGTCCCAGTGCTACCGTCCGCATGCGTCCCCCCCCACACCCAGTACAGCGCTTCGTGGCCCCATAGGGAGCCCCTCCGAAGGTTCCAGTGCTACCGTCTGCATGCGTCCCCCCACCCAGGACAGCGTTTCGTGGCTCCATAGGGAGCCCCACCGAAGGTCCAAATGCTACCGTCCGCATGCGTCCCCCGCACCCAGTACAGCGTTCCGTGGCCCCGCAGGGAGCCCCGCCGAAGGTCCCAGTGCTACCGTCCGCATGCGTCCCCCGCACCTGGTACAGCGTTTCGTGGGGGAGCCCCACCGAAGGTCCCTGTGCTACCGTCCGCATGCGTTCCCCCCACCCAGCACAGCGTTTTGTGGCTCCATAGGGAGCCCCACCGAAGGTCCCAATGCTACCGTCCGCATGCGTCCCCCGCACCCAGTACAGCGTTCCGTGGCCCCGCAGGGAGCCCCGCCGAAGGTCCCAGTGCTACCGTCCGCATGCGTCCCCCACACCCAATACAGCGCTTCGTGGCCCCATAGGGAGCCCCACCGAAGGTCCCAGTGTTACCGTCTGCATGCGTCCCCCCCTGTACAGCGTTTCGTGGCCCCATAGGGAGCCCCACCGAAGGTCCCAGTGCTACCGTCCGCATGCGTCCCCCCCCCACACCCAGTACAGCGCTTCGTGGCCCCATAGGGAGCCCCTCCGAAGGTCCCAGTGCTACCGTCCGCATGCGTCCCCCCACCCAGTACAGCGCTTCGTGGCTCCATAGGGAGCCCCACCGAAGGTCCAAATGCTACCGTCCGCATGCGTCCCCCGCACCCAGTACAGCGTTCCGTGGCCCCGCAGGGAGCCCCGCCGAAGGTCCCAGTGCTACCGTCCGCATGCGTCCCCCGCACTTGGTACAGCGTTTCGTGGGGGAGCCCCACCGAAGGTCCCTGTGCTACCGTCCGCATGCGTTCCCCCCACCCAGCACAGCGTTTTGTGGCTCCATAGGGAGCCCCACCGAAGGTCCAAATGCTACCGTCCGCATGCGTCCCCCGCACCCAGTACAGCGTTCCGTGGCCCCGCAGGGAGCCCCGCCGAAGGTCCCAGTGCTACCGTCCGCATGCGTCCCCCACACCCAGTACAGCGCTTCGTGGCCCCATAGGGAGCCCCACCGAAGGTCCCAGTGTTGCCGTCTGCATGCGCCCCCCCCCCTGTACAGCGTTTCGTGGCCCCATAGAGAGCCCCACCAAAACCCCTGGGACTGTCCGCATGCGTCAGAGAAGAGTTGAATGAAATATCCTGACCATATGGGATAATCTCATGCGTGTCAAGTTAGTGAACCAACCTCGCTGGACCACGCGTCCGAGGTGGAGGCGTGGGGACGGTGAGCATGTCGTCCATACCCTTCTTGAGTATGCTCAGCCCAAGGGCGCAACTCGCCGTGAGCATTCTCGCACGCACCTGCGGACAATCATCTTGAGAAAGAACCATCCAACCACTTTTGCCTGTCACCCTCGGCACGCTTGTCCAGAATGTCGGGGGCATGTCATGGCGGTCTTCGACAACTCTTCGTTCGCCGGCATGTCTGGGACACTCAGCGAAGGCGTGGCGAAAACTTGGAGTCGGCGCTCCACTTGCGGACAATCATCTGGAGAAATAACGATCCAACCGCTCTTGCTGGTCACCCTCGGCACACTTGTCCAAGATGTCGGGGGTATGTCATAGCGGTCTTCGACAACTCTTCGTTCGCCGGCATGCCTGGGGCACGCAGCGAAGGCGTGGCGAAAACTCGGAGTCGGCGCTCCACGGTGCCTGCAAAGGAACCCTGTGCGTCGTCCGGTCTCGGAGGTCACCGCCCCCGATCCGAAGGCCGCCAAGAGCGTGCGGTCTTCCTCACTCAGGCTTAATCGGGCGAAGAGAACTATGCACATGCACCGATCCTGGCAAGGCTCATTTTTGACCCAGGATCGGTGCATATGCCTTCCTGGCCAAGGTGGGAGGGCGTATGCACCGATCCTGGGCTCAGGATGGGCCTGGCCAGAATCGGTGCATGTGCATAGTTCTTTTCCCTCTACTTAACAGCCACTTGGAATATAGTTTGCTTGAAGATGCCTGAACGTCAACGGCATCAATCTACTCGGCGTCGTATCTTGGTTCGCACCACTTGCTGGAGGCATCTGATGCGCGCAATACTTCTGAGAGCATGCCGGGCGGCCTTGCTGTTCGTGCTGAACCTCCAGTCGCCGCCCACGACATGCTCGCCTGCGTGTCTGACCCTGAAGTCATCACGCGAATCCACTTGAAGAATAGCGCCCTGGGTGGGCGAACATCGAATAAAGGATAATCCCAATACTCGTGCGTACTCTGAGAGGGTCGTGTCAAGAAAGTCACTCCACACCAGTCTCTCATCCACCAACTGTCGAAATCCAAGAATAGCAGCTGAATATTCAGGATGCAACAATACGTTCTGTGCCCAATAGCGTCCGAAACACCACCATCGCGAGCCTGTCTTCCACAAGGCTCTGCACAGTAGTCTCGCAAATCGTCTTGGTGACGGTGTCACAATTGGCAACGCCCACGTCCATAGCGGCCTCACGTATGCAAAGGCCAGCCTGAGTCGTACTCGATGGCTACCTGGGATGGCAGCCAGCACTGAGATGGCAGTCTCGAGCTTCTGCCAGCCGCCCCTCGGGATGATGGGGACGGTGTGGTCTGTAGGAGTAGCAAGAATGCCCAGATGTTCCACTTGGACAGGAACAGGGTCATCAATACTCCAGCGTTGCCTTTTACTCTGGTTCTCGCAATACCCAATAGACGTGTCGAACTGCTGTGTCATCTGCAAATCCCTGTCGAGGTCGTCGGTATTCTGCGCCACCAGACTTCTGTCGTCCATGAAAGCGTGTCCCTGTGATATAGGTACCCATGGTACAAGCGTCGATATGAGTGTGCAAGGCGCCGTGCTGTCACCCTGAGGTAGGCCTCGGCACGGGTCCAGTGGTGGTGCGAGCTCGCCCTGGATACAGCAGATCCCCGGGCCCTTCCACGCGGCGTAGCATGTTTACATGACGGCATACGGCATGGCTGAGTGGTCAGCCGCTTCCAAGGCCAGGTCGTGGTCCACTTGATCGAAACAAGCCAAGAGGTCCATCTCTGCGCCACACTGGCCTTCTGTGCGATCTTTCAGCCACTTGGAGACAGCGTGCACCGCAGATGTATGTCTGCGGTTGGCCCACTGCAAGTCTGGAGGAGAAGCTGATGCCGTCGCCAGGGCCCGTAGCCACGCTCGCAGCAGCACGGATCCCTCTGAGATGGGACGAATAGCTTCCTCGTTCTTCGGGATGCCTGCTACCCGCCAGGGAAATATGGCGTGCAGCACTTCAGGAGGTAGTCTACCTCGGAGCTCGACTGCTTGTTGTGATGTCATGACCCACAGGTCATACAGCTCCTCGATGATGGTGGGGTATATCTTCTCCAACGCCTTGACCTCGCGACTTGTCCAGCCGTCGAGCCCAGGGCATCCTTTAGCTTGTCGGACTGCTGCCGCAACAGTATCCAGCGTGGGCACCCAGTCCTGTGCGTATGACGACTTCGGGAAGGCCACTGCCGAGGCGTGTTGCCTCCATGCATTCACGTAGCCCGTGTTGTCGTAGTTGTCTGGCTTCCAATGCTTGGCCCGCTGCTCGCGCATGTCTGCGGCGGCGTGAGCTGGTGCTGGCTGGCCTCCCTTGAAGAGTGGGGTGGCCGCTTTCCACGCGTCGTTGCTCCAGCTCGCGAAGCGCTGTCGCCACTGTGCGCCATTCCTCTTCTGCATCTGGTACTGCTCGATGGTGATCCCCTGGGAGATCCAGTCCAGCGCGTCAGAGTAAGTCGGGATGCCTACTGCCTTGACTTGGACCAATCCGTCCACTGCTGCGGCAGCGAGCTGTGCGTAGTGCTTGGTCTCCAGTCTGGTGGATCCTGGAGCTCCTAGGCGTAGGTGTTCTGCCAGCCGTCGGTGCAGTCGTCGGAGCCGTCGCAGGGCGATCGTCTCGTCGGGTCTGTGTGCTGGGGAATGTGAAGTCGGCCGTGAGGTTGGCTGTGAACCTTTGTCCCTCTCGGCCTCGCTTTGCACTGATAGCAGTCCACGCTCGACTGCGAGCCTCAGCGCCTTCTCCGCCCTCATGTGCCAGTACTGCCAGCGGTCGAGCAGCGGGGGGTCGGTATCTTCGTTCAGGTAGCGGGGGGGCCCCACCTCCTGGTCCAGTAGCTCTTGAAGTCGCTCTCTTTCCCCGTCATTGGGGCTGCGCTCTGGTGTGTATGTTGCTGTGCGTCGAAGTCGAGTTGGTGTCGGATTGACGTGTGTGATGCTTAGCACGTATCCCACCAATGCGTGATGCGGGATGCTTGGCAGCAGGTGCGTCGTTGTCTGCTCTGGTGCAGCTCCTTCTCCCCACAACAGGGCTCTCGTCGGACAAGTGCCTGCTGCCGTGGTGGATGTCTCTGCGCCTCTTCGCACCGTCCTCATATGCCATCGTGTGGTCAGGGCGGAATAGAGAGGGCGCCAATTGAGGTGTCCAACGATGTAGACTGGATGGCCAAGATGTCCCAACGATTGGAACTATTCGATGGCGTGCTGAAGCCAGGCCCTGTCCACTCCCACTGGGCCGTATACGGACAGGAACGTAGCAGTAGCACAGCGTACCCCTACCATGCGGTGGCCGAGGTCTTTGTGGCGGATGACGGTGATCTTACCCAGTGAGCGGCGCCGAATAATAGCGCAGCCTCCCTGTCGCACCGTACCCCGCTCCTGCGTTGGTGGTGGGTCAGAGCAAGCAATACTCCACCCGTATCTCATGGCCGTCTGAAAAATCCATCGTGGTCGTAGTTCGTGATGGCGTATTTCCTGAAGACATAGAACCGTCGCTGTGGACACAGGTAGTGCCTCCAGGATAATGATGAGTCTCGCTTTTGAAATACTGGTAACGTTGATCGTACATACTTGAAGCTTGGTGGTGTTAGAGCTCGGCTCCTCAGTCGGAAAGAGGTCATCAGGGTCCAACTCCTCCTCCAGCCTCTGTCGTTTGTGCTGCGCCTGGCCTGGGCTCGAGGAGCACCCAGGGTCAGGGCTTGAACTGTGTCCAGCATGTGGCTGTCCAGCATGTGGCGACTGAGCCTGGGATGCAGACGTCGGCAAAACCCAGTCGCGACCAGGACTTGCGCTCTTTACGCCAGAACTTCTGGAGTTGGCAGGAAGGGACCGATACACTTGCCCCTTGCCAGTGCGTTCTGACCCATGTCCAGCATGTGGCAACGGTGCCTGGCCCGAGCTCGAGGAGCACCCGAGACCAGGACTTGCGTTCTGACCTTGAGGGAGACTGGCAGAGAGGGGCCCTGAGGGTCCCTTGCCAGTGCGTTCTGACTGTGAACTCGCTGCCGTAGGACTGGCCGTTGGCGTAGGCGAGGTACCAGTAGGCGTCGGTGGTGTCGTCGGTGTACCCGTAGCTCCAGTACCTGTGGCCGAAGCTGTACAGGTAGGTGAAATCAGTGTCGAGGGTGAACCAGCAGTCGCAGTACCTGAGGCCGATGCTGTACAGGTAGGCGTAGGCAAAGGTAAGGATGAACCAGTCGCCGATCCCCGCGAGGTGCGGGAACGTTTAGCCTTCGGTGTGGGACTCGAAGGGTGCGCAGAAACTGCATCAGAAACTTGTTGTACATGCTCATTGGCCACTGCAAATACAGCACTTGAATTCGGATCTGCAAATACAGCCCTTGAATTCGGCGTAGTGGCTCGTGCTTTTTTGGGTGGTGGTTCTCTCGGCTGGGCCGAGGAGTCGGTGGGTCGTGAGACCGTGGATTGCTTGCTTGCGGCTTCTGTCTTTTGTCGCTTGCTTGGTGGTGTCGGCCCCTGTGTGGAGCGCCCTCCGCACAGGAGCGGATCCCGTCAAAGTTGGCTCGGCTCGTCGTGGGCTGCTGGCTTCCTTCGCACCGGTGCTCGCTTGCACACCGTCGGTAGCCCCAGTGCTTCACGCCGTAGCCGTTCCTTGCGTTCGTACTGCTTCCTCCCGTAGCGCTCGTAGTACTTGGCGTAGTAGCCTGGGCCTTGGAGGACTTCTTCCAGTGCTGCTTCACCCGCCTGGCGGAGTCGGCAACTCGCTTCTTGGCAGCGTCCTCTCCCACGAGTCTGGCCATGCCCATCTGGATGGTGACCCCCTCTGGGCGCCGCTTGCAGGGGTAGCCGCGGAACTTGGCAAGACATAGCTGCCTGCCACACTTGATGCAGACGTACTGTGTGCTCATCATGCGGGTGTGCTGCACAGTCCTGGCCGATCCCTCTCCAGGATCACAGGCAACCTCACGCTGAGCAGGCGTGAGCTCGGCCCTCCAGAGCTGGAAGCGTCTCCATGCTTTGTCTCTCTTGGCTTTGTTCATGGCTGCAACCGATAGCCCACCCTTGCCCAACCGATGGCGTGGAACATCAGCTGGTTCCTTGGGTGGATCTTCGCCTTGACAGATGCGCCAGTGCTTCTTGACCTCTGTCCACCTTTGCTGGGCAGACTGATGCGGGTCGGGCTTCCACTTGCCGCAGGGGCAATGCCAATGTTTGTACGACTCAGTCAACATCGGCAGCGGGGAAGGCATCGGGCTGTGATTCAAAATACTCTCTACTCGTCTTGATGAGATGGGCTTGGTCTTCGGCGTGGCCATGCAAAATGTACTCTGAACTCGTCGTGTCGAAATCGATGTCCCCGAAGGCGTCGGGGCTTCAAATATTGCCATGGCCGCTGCCGAGGACAGAGAGCTCGATGACTGCGTCTTCTTGGAGGCTGGTGTCGGGTGGTCCGTGTCATCAAGGTGGTTCTGACTTTGTCCAGCCTTCTTCTTGATAGTAATGGCTCTTCCTCCTCCAGAAAAGTGATGAGGATATGGCCTGGCATTCTTCTTCCATTCGGCTTCGATGTCTGTGGGTACTGGAGCTGTTCCGACCACTAGCTGGATATGCTTGTCCACCAAGGTCACCCAACATTTGTGCTTCGTCTTCATCGCGGCAGGTGCCGAAAACAACGTCCATCCAGTACCCTGCTTCTTCCAGATCAGAAAATCACATGATACTGCTGTCGCTGCTGCTTTGATGGCGGATGATATCGCATACGTTCCCGCTTTGGCCTGGTCGTCAGCATCCTTCTGGGGTAATTTCTGCTTGAGCATCTCCGCTGCAACTTTTGCTCGTAGTGCTGCTTGGATCTTCCCTCCTGGGCCGAGGTCGGCCTCTGTCGGGAGCTTCTTGCCTGATTTGCCTCCAGCTGGCTGGAGAGAATTGAAATAGAAACCTGCCGAGACATAGAAACAATCACCTTTGCCTCCACACTCTCTCTGTTTGACATATGCTTCCCATGGTGCTTTACTTGGTGTGGTCTGCTTCGGCTCCTCCTGGGTGGTGTCGGGTCGGGCTCGGAGCGCCCCACACCGTCTTGGGTGACTTCGTCGGTGGTGGTCTGGAGCTCCTTCTGCGTGGAGCCGCTAAGCTTGCCACCGCCCCTGATTTGAACTCAAGAACTCTGCCGCTCTCCAGTTGGTCAAGATCGGCGCGAATCAACCAGCGCCTCGTGCCACAACGTGCAATACTATTCACATTTTTGAATCCTCGATCCAAGGCCCATGCTTTGACTTCTTCCTCCTAGGACCATGATGTGGGTGTACGTTGGAGGAGCCATCTTGGTTGAATATCTGCAGCGCTTACAACATTGGCTGAGATGACACCGAGTGAACTGTTCTCCGACGGGCGGGACACGAGTCGTCCAGATGCCGCTTGTGCTGCTGCCTGGACTCGCTTGAAGTAGTCGGTGGCCTGCTCGTCATCCCTGAGCCTGTGCCACGATGGGACTAGTGACGTCCCCTGTCTGTTAAGGAAAACTCCGTCTGGGAGTGGATACTGCATGATGTCCTCGATGTGGGACGCCTGCACAATCAAAATCGCCGTGACCTCCGTCTCATAGGCCATGGCTCCCTTTGTTTTGAGAATGTACTTAGTGAGACTCGCACTCATGATGAGTGCTGGCAGCGCAATTGGATTCTCTTCTGCCTCGGCATATAACCAATCTGGAGCATAATCACGAGCAACAGTGATCCGCACCGCGACTGGCTTGTCCGTGGAGATTGGAATCTCAACGTCGTCCTTCACCCCCTTGGGAAGGCCCGTCTTCTGTGGGGCCTTCTGGCCCGTGCGTAGAATCTGTGCTGGGACTAGGGTGGCCCCTCCACCGTTGGCTTCGACGGCAACGTCGATGTGGTCCCAGCCCTCGTACTTGGTGTATTCGTCGAAGAGCACATACGTGGCCGTCGGGTTGGTGAGGCCTCTCGCCTTCAGCCAGTCCACGACCTGATCGTACTGAATCTTCCCCTTGCATGCGATCTCAGGTGGAGCCTGTGGATCATACTCTTTGTCATTAGGCGACGTCGAAGTACTTTTCCCCGTACTCTTCGTCGCGGCACTTTTGTCTGTGTTCTTCTTGCCCCGAGTGTCGTCCAGCAAGTGTGTGAGCGTCGCGACCGCCTCCTTGTGGGTCGGAGGTTGGTCCTGTTCATCCGCTTGGGGAATGAGACGTTTGATCCGCACCAATAGTCTAGGGTACCTGCGCCTGTTGGTCTTCTCCGTGAAACTGTCTGAAGTTCGCTGCTTGGCTCTCGTCTTGGATGTGTGACTGCTCCCACGAACTTGACCCGTCAAGTCCCGCAGTCGCTCCTCCATGAGCGCCAGTTGGGTGAGTACTGCAGCTTGATCGTTCCCCCGACGTCGTTGTGCATACATCCCCCCACGTCCTCCCGCCAAGAGCGGGTCTGAATAATAGTCAGTATCTGAGTTGTCGATGTCTGTGGTGATCGACTGGTCCAGCAATATCTTCTCGGAGCCGACGAAGTCGGCAACCTCGAACGTGTCGTGCTGGTCCTCGTTGGTAGTCACGTCCGTGACGCGTTCGCAGTACTCCGCTGCGGCGGGGGCCGTCCCATCAACCTCGTCGTGGAGAGGTAGTACTGCATCGTTGATTGTCCGCATGCGTCCCGGAAATCTAATTTGGACCGCCCGCATGCGTCCCACACGCCAAATTTGGCATTTTCTCTCCACCCAGTACGGCGTTTCGTGGCCCCATAGGCAGTTCGCCCGACGGCCCCAGTTCTACCGCCCGCGTGCGTTCCCCCCCACCCAGTGCAGCGCTTCGTGGCCCCATAAAGAGCTCCACCGAAGAAAATATTCACAATTGCGGTACCCACAACTGCATATGATTGGGTCCGTCGCGGGGATATTGGACCCTGACCCTGCCGATCAGCGGGAGGGGTGCCGCCGAATTTCAGAAATGTGCCAAATCCCATGTGTTTTTTGACCCTGACCCTGCCGATCTGCGTGAGGGGTGCCGCCGGATTTCAGACATGTGGCAAATCCCGTGTGTTTTTGGACCCTGGCCCTGTGCTACTGAATGTCAGGAATGTGGCAAATCCCTTGCGGTTTTTGACCCTGACCCCCCCGATCTGCGTGAGGGGTGCCGCCGAATTTCAAACATGTGACAAATCCTTTGTGTTGTTGCACCCTGACCCCACCGATCTGCGTGAATGGTGCCATCGAATGTCAGAAATGTTGCAAATCCCTTTTGTTTTTGGACCCTGACCCCGCCGATCTGCATGAGGGGTGCCACTGGATGTCAGAAATGTGGCACATCCCCTTATGTTCTTGCCTGACCCCGCAGATCTGCAGGAGGGGTGCCGCCGAATTTCAGAAATGTGGCAAATCCCTTGTGTTTTTGGACCCTGACCCCGCCGATCTGCGTGAGGGGTGCCACCGAATTTCAGACATGTGGCACATCCCCTGTGTTTTTGGACACGGACCCCGCCGATCTGCGTGAGGGGTGTAATTTTTTACCCACCCCAGCAATTCAGAGCATACGATTTCTCCGTGGTAGAAATACCCGTTTTGAGGCTCCCCCCCTCGCGCGGTTCATCAACAAGGAACAGTAAACAGCAGTAAGTCAACAAGGAACAGTAAGCAGCAAGAAGCATAACTGTAACAGTGGAAACTGGAAGCTGCAACTGGGACAGGAAACTGCAAATCTTAGCCCTACAGCCTGGTGGCCCCACAAGGGGGCCGGCAGATACATATGTATGCAGGTGTGTACAGACATGTATTCGTTTGATTGCGTAGTCGAATGGTTTGCAGTATTGTATGTATTAATTGGGTTGTTTGTTTGCTTGCTTGTTTGTTTGTTTCTTTGTTTGTTTGCTTGTTTGTTTGTTTGGTATTTTCTTTGTTTCGGTTGTGACTTATCGAATCAGTTGTGTATTGCTTCGTTCCTTTCTGGCTATATGTGTAGCGGTGCAAAGTTGATAAACAGGTTTGTGACATGTGCGTTGTCCGAAGCCGTGTTGGTCCAGTATCACCCGACCATGGTAGCGGAGCCTGGTTCCGATCAGACCGCTACCGATCCGTATCAGACCGCTTTCAAGCGGAGTGCGCGCGCGGCGCGCGGCGATATCAACGACGAGGTTGGTGGAATCTGCCTTGTGGTGGACGTGGTGGTTCGCTGGCG